GGACCCTATGGGAAATACATACAAATGTCTTCTTTTAGAGAACCACTGAATGGAATGAAACCAAACATGGCATGAATGTCCCTTATGAGGTTCTGACCAAGTGTTGTTACTTTGTAGCCGATCCATCATCCAAGATGGCCGCCAGCGGGGGACTTAGTTTAACATAGGACCCTATGGGAAATACATACAAATGTCTTCTTTTAGAGAACCACTGAATGGAATGAAACCAAACATGGCATGAATGTTCCTTATGAGGTGCTGACCAAGTGTTGTTACTTTGCAGTCGGTCCATCATCCAAGATGGCCGACAGCAGGGGACTTAGTTTAACAAAGGACCTATGGGAAATACATACAAATGTCTTCTTTTAGCGAACCACTGAATGGAATGGAACCAAACATGGCATGAATGTTCCTTTTGAGGTACTGACCAAGTGTTGTTACTTTGCAGTCGGTCTATCATCCAAGATGGCCGACAGCAGGGGACTTAGTTTAACAAAGGACCTATGGGAAATACATACAATTGTCTTCTTTTAGAGAACCACTGAATGGAATTGAACCAAACATGGCATGAATGTTCCTTATGAGTTGCTGACCAAGTGTTGTTACTTTGCAGTCGATCCATCATCCAAGATGGCCGCTAGGGGGGGGGGCCTTAGTTTAACATAGGACCCTATGGGAAATACATACAAATGTCTTCTTTTAGAGTAGCACTGAATGGAATGAAACCAAACATGGCATGAATGTTCCTTATGAAGTGCTGACCAAGTGTTGCTACTTTGTTGCAGATTTACTGTTCAAGATGGCCACCAGGATATTTTATTAAATAACGGGACCAATATTAATCAAAATTTGGCCTCAATCATTATTTGGGTATCTGTTATGATTTTTATCTATCTTTACATGATTTCTAAAACCAAAGTAGAGTCAGGTGAGCGACACAGGCTCTTGAGAGCCTCTAGTTTTCTGTCGGGTTTAAAAGCTCTTCAGGGCTTATGTTTGTAATTGTATTTGAATATACCGACTTAGTCTTATGTCTTATGTAACAGCACTACATAAGAACTATAAAAATAAGTTGAAAAGGGCTTAATAAATCGGTACAAACCACAAAAACAACTAACAAAAACACCAAAAACAAAGAGTATGGATCTGAGAGTAGTTACTGCATGAAAGCTATTTCAACGCAAAAACAACTGATAAAAAAATCACGTGCACGTAAAGACTTTACTACGAAAGCCTATTAGGGTCACAAAAAAAAATTATCGCGTAATTACGAGATAAATATCTCGTAATTACGAGAAAACTATCGCGTAATTACGAGATAATCCTTTTTTATCTCGTAATTACGAGATAATCATCGCGTAATTACGAGAAAACTATCGCGTAATTACGAGATAATCATTTTTATACGCCCGTTTATGGGACGTATTATGGTATACCGTTGTCCGTCTGTCCGTCTGTCCATTCGTCGTCAACATGTCGGACATTATCTCAAAAACGCTTTAACTAATTTGCATAAAACTTTGGTGAATTGTTTATGTCTATTGACGTGAGCTCTCTTTCGTTTTTTATAAATTTTAGATTTTACGTTTCCGAGTTATGGGGTTTTATTCATAAAAAAGGGGGATTTTCCAGTTTTCGGACAAAAAATAAAAAGTGCTTTCAGCAGTTCTTATAAAACTTTGGTGAATTGTTTAAAACTATTGATGTAAGCTCTGTTTAGAATTTTATAAATTTTTCATTTATCATTTCTGAGTTATTGGGTTTTATTCATTAAACAAGAGGCTCTCAAGAGCCTGAATCGCTCACCTGTATATCACAGAGAAGATTTTTAAATGTTAGCAAACTTGATGAACAAATTGTGTAAAATTGTCTTTAAAGGGCAATAACTCCTTAAGGGGGCAATTGACAATTTTGGTTATATTAACTTTTTTGTAGATCTTACTTTGCTGAACAGTATTGCTGCTTACAGTTTATATATCTATGATAATATTCAAAATAATAACAAAAAACTGCAAAATTTTGTTAAAACTACCAATTCGGTGGCAGCAACCCAACAATGGGTTGTTCGATTCTTCTGATAATATCAGGGCCAATAGATCTTGACCAATTCAACAATTTTACCCCATATCACATTTGCTCTAAAAGATGTAGTTTTTGATTTATAAGCCAAAAACTGCATTTGACCCTTATGTTCTATTTTTAGCCATGGCGGCCATGCTTGTCGATGGATACAAACTTCGGATACAATTTATAAACAAGATACCCTAAGGAACATTTAGTTAAAGTTTGAAGGTAATTGGCCCAGTAGTTTCAGAGGAGAAGATTTTTAAATGTTAGCAAACTTGATGAACAAATTGTGTAAAATTGTCTTTAAAGGGCAATAACTCCTTAAGGGGTCAATTGACAATTAAGGTCATATTATAATTACCTTTTTTTTGTAGATCTTACTTTGCTGAACATTATTGCTGCTTACAGTTTATATATATCTATGATAATATTCAAAATAATAACAAAAAACTGCAACATTTTGTCAAAACTACCAATTCGGTGGCAGCAACCCAACAATGGGTTGTTCGATTCGTCTGAAAATTACAGGGGCCATAGATCTTGACCAATTAAACAAATTTACCCCATGTCACATTTGCTCTAAAAGATGTAGTTTTTGAGATATAAGCCAAAAACTGCATTTGACCCTTATGTTCTATTTTTAGCCATGGCGGCCATGTTTGTTGATGGATACAAACTTCGGATACAATTTATAAACAAGATACCCTAAGGAACATTTAGTTAAAGTTTGAAGGTAATTGGCCCAGTAGTTTCAGAGGAGAAGATTTTTAAATGTTAGCAAACTTGATGAACAAATTGTGTAAAATTGTCTTTAAAGGGCAACAACTCCTTAAGGGGTCAATTGACAATTATGGTCATATTAACTTTTTTGTAGATCTTACTTTGCTGAACATTATTGCTGCTTACAGTTTATATATATCTATAATTATATTCAAAATAATAACAAAAAACTGCAAAATTTTGTTAAAACTACCAATTCGGTGGCAGCAACCCAATAATGGGTTGTTCGATTCGTCTGAAAATTTCTGAGCTGATAGATCTTGACCAATTGAACAATTTTCTCCCAGTCAGATTAGCTCTAAAAGCTTTAGCTTTTGAGATATAAGCCAAAAACTGAATTTGACCCCTATGTTCTATTTTTAGCCATGGCGGCCATGTTTGTCGATGGATTAAAACTTCGGATACAATTTATAAACTAGATACCCTAAGGAACATTTAGTTAAAGCTTGAAGGTATTTGGCCCAGTAGTTTCAGAGAAGATTTTTGAAATAGTTTACGACGACAGACGACGACAGACGACGACGACAGACGACGACGACGGACGACGACGGACGCCAAGTGATGGCATAAGCTCACATGGGGCCCTTCGGGCCCCGGTGAGCTAAAAATGGGTGATTTTCCAGTTTTCGGACAATAACTCAAAAATGCTGTCAGCAATTCTCATGAAACTTTGGTAAATAGTTTATATCTACTGATGTAAGCTCCCTTTACATTTTCATAAATTTCTAATATGACATTGACAATTAATTGAACTTTATTTGTTTATAGTCTGACAACAGATTTACTAAGTATTGCGCAACAGCACAGTGTATTGCACAACAGCAAGAAATTTTTAATTGAATATAAATTCAATTCATATAACCAATTTCAAGTTCTTTGACTACATTTATTCAGAAACCTATAATATGTCAAATATTTAATAACAATCCAAATTCAGACCTGTATCAAGCTTGAATATTGTGTCCATTTTTTGCCCCAACTGTTCAGGGTTGGACATCTGCGGGCGTATCCAGCTGCGCTCAGCGAAGCAGTTTATTTTATTTCGTAATTACGCGATAGTTTTCTCGTTATTACGCGATGATTATCTCGTAATTACGAGATAAAAAACTTCTTATCTCGTAATAACGCGATAGTTTTCTCGTAATAATCTCGTAATTACGCGATAATTATCTCGTAATTACGCGATAGTTTTCTCGTAATTACGAGATATTTTTTTGTGTGACCCTAATAGGCTTTCGTACTTTACTGTTGACAGTAAGAGAAAAAAAGGCATGATCTTGTGTAATGCTTAAACATAGGTATTGACAGAAAGGAGCAACTTGAAGGTGTATAGAAAAAATATTTAGTTGGGTTTTAATTTATTGATAACAAAAACAATATTTATACCAATAAAACAAAGATCTAATGTAACAGTTTTAAATTGGTAACCTTTCAGAAAAATCGTATCTAAATTTACGTGTTCGATAAACAACATCACCGTCAAATTTATGATGCGCTATCCCGTTTGTAACTTGAGGTACAGCATTTTTTACATAACATTTGTGATCAATCTATATGGGTTTTAGCATACCTATCAGTCTCTATTTAGGGGTGTGTACACTTTTTCTTATCTTGCATAGTGTTTACCTTTCTGTAAATTCTCTACATTCCAAATATTTTTCTTTATCCAACCAATTTTTTATTGAAAAACAAGTCAAGAGTTTATCTTTATCTTATTCAAGAGTATTTTCTCTCAACTTGAATATTTCAAACAATTATGAACAACAATGATTGACGGATGGTTTGCTTGTTTTGTTCGTTTGTTAAAAAAAAAGGCATTTCCGGGGGATTCCCTATGCAACACTTATTCTTTTTCTTCTTCTTTATAATTTTCTTAAGTTAAATTAAGTTTAATATGCAGTTATATGTTAGTCTTGTATGTTTTTTTAATTTCAGTTAGTGTGACGTCCATTTTCACTGAACTAGTACACATTTTTGTTTAGTGGCCAGCTGAAGCCCGCCTCCGGTGTGGGATTTTCTCGCTGTGTTGAAGACCTATTGGTGGCCTTGGACTGTTTTCTGCTCTTTGGTCGGGTTGTTGTCTCTTTGACACATTTCCCATTTCCATTCTTATACTAGAATGAATAAGTGTTAGCTCCCTTTAAAATCGTTTGGCAACTAAGATATGTAAACTTCCGGTAAAATTGTACCCAACGAAACACTTACAATGAAGGTATGAATTATTTTCACAACTATCTATATATTCCAACTAAAATTACATAACGTTAACAACCAAATAAAGTACTTATAATTTTGCTTATACAGTACTTGCTTTTAGTAGACAGATTAAATGAGTTGATATATTAAATAGTATGTTGGTCATTTTTAAATGTTTATTTGTATTGTATGTGTCGAGTAAAACGTAAAACACCTGTGTCATTACAATGTACATATTCAGTGTGTGTGTAAAACCTTCACAGAGCTTACTAATTTGTTATTTTTATTCTTTTGTATCGTCTTTGAATATATTTTTTTTTCTATCTAACCTTGCATCAACAATAAATAATTATATCTATCAAGTTACGCATGTAAATACGCATTAGATATAACGATTTTCATCCGGATATTTCACAATATTTAATGGATGTATATGCCTCGGATGATATACAAATATATTGGTTCCTCTATTTTTTATTTTTTTTATACAATGCAATATTTAAATATTATTATTATTATTATTATTATTATTATTATTATTATTATTATTATTATTATTATTCCCGTTACTGTTGTTTTTCATAGAGGGGACTTCATATACTGACTGGTTATCCATTTTCTAAAATTCAGGCTTATTTCAATTGTCATTGGATTTACATTTACAATTTAAATGATATTGGCTAGCTCAGACTGGTGTGTATATAACATTATATAATACAATTTTAAATATTCAACACCGTGACTTATACGATATATGTTTGTGTTTTTGAGGACGGAATTTAACAGCTTTGTATTGAAACCATTGTTTTACAAACATATATGTCAATTAAAGATTAACCACTGAAATAAAACAGTTGACCCTCTTTTATCGGTGGTTGACATACTCCATAATACCTTTACTACTGACATTCTAAATAATGAATGTATCTTTGTATTATAATTGTTCATTTTAAATTCCGTATTTTTTTACACTATGAGATTTCAGTATATCACAAATACATGAATTAACGCTGAGATAATGATTATCAAATTGCTGATCAATATCAAATCGACTTATCATGATAATGGATCAGTATTCATAATCAAACAAGATCAATGCATCACTTAAGATTTAATCAGATTTGAAATCTTCAGAATACATGATCAAGTCTGATTTATGATTTCTTTGCATTTAGACGGTAAAGGCGTGATAATGTCGGTCTCTGTTGACCTTGGTGACACCAAAATGGAAACAGAAGCAGTGACAGAAGACGAAGTACCAAGATTCAAAGAGGGCAGGAAAAGTATGTGGTTAATCTTAAGATAAATTGAACTGTGCGCCTCTCCTTGCCGACCTCTTCTTATTTTCATATGAATCGGAGTTCCTTTAGACACTTGTCAAAAACAAGAAGATCAAAGAAGCCAGATTATTTAATTTCACTTTCAGATATATTGATGATGTTCTTTCCATTAACAATCCGAACTTTTCTGATTGGGTTCCATTAATATATCCCCCAGAACTAGAAATTAAAGAAACAACAGACACGGCTTCCTCCGCCTCATTTTTAGACTTATACCTCGAATTTGACATACACAGTCATTTCAGTACCAGAATCTATGACAAACGAGACGATTTTAATTTTAAAAATTATCAATTTCCCCCACCTTAGTAGCAATATACCAACTTCACCTGCATATGGGATATACATTTCCAAACTTATTCGGTATGCAAGAGCTTGCAGCTCCTACTCAGACTTTGTAAAACGTCACCAGTGTCTGAGCAAAACGTTGATGAACCAGGGGTATGTCAAAGAACGTCTCGTCCTTTTTATAAAAAAGTTCATCGGAAGGTACAAGACCTTGTTGATAAATATTCCGTATCAACTTCACAAATAATACATGATGGTCTTGAAGTATAGATTCTGCGTAGTGACGCTGTTTATCATCTTAATAACGTGTTAAAGTGTTCTTTTATTTGTCTTTATTAATATTACTTTTACTGTTTGGTCTGTTTTTGGTGGGGTTCGTGTTAACTTTGAACGTAGAAGTTTTTCAAAACGACGATATGACAGTTGTGCAGATCTTTGCCCTTTTTTTTTGTAGTAAAAACATCTAAATGTTTAGAAGAAAAAAACACTGGGCTCTGAATTGTGATTTTTTGTCGAGCCTGCGACTTTTGTCGCAGAAAGCTCGACATAGGGATAGTGATCCGGCGGCGGCGGCTACGGCGGCGGCGGCGTTAGCTAACTTCTTAAAAGCTTTATATTTTAGAAGCTAGAAGACCTGGATGCTTCATACTTTGTATATAGATGCCTTATGTTACGAAGTTTCCGTCTGTCATATGTCCAATGTCCTTGACCTCATTTTCATGGTTCAGTGACTAGTTGAAAAAAAAGTCAACATTTTTTGTAATGTTAATTTCTTTCTTAGTATGAGTAATAGGATAACTATATTTAGTATGTGCGTACCTTGCAAGGTCCTCATGCCCGTCAGACAATTTTCATTTGACCTCGACCTCATTTCATGGATCAGTGAACCAGGTTAAGTTTTCGTGGTCAAGTCCATATATCAGATACTATAAGCAGTAGGTCTACTATATTTGGTATATGGAATGATTGTAAGGTGTACATGTCCAACTGGTAGGTGTCATGTGACCTTGACCTCATTTTCATGGTTCAGTGGTCAAAGTTAAGTTTTTGAGTTTTGGTCTTTTTTTCTAATACTATATGCAATAGGTCAACTATAAATGGTGTATGGAATGATTGTAAGGTGTACATGTCTAGCTGGCAGGTGTCATCTGACCTTGACCTCATTTTCATGGTTCAGTGGTCAAAGTTAAGTTTTTGAGTTTTGGTCTTTTTTTCTAATACTATATGCAATAGTTCAACTATATTTGGTGTATGGAAATATTTTATGATCTATATGTCAGTCACGCAGGTTTTATTTGACCTTGACCTCATTTTCAAGGTTCATTGCTCAGTGTTAAGTTTTTGTGTTTTGGTCTGTTTTTCTTATACTGTATGCAATAGGTCTACTATATTTGGTGTAAGGAATGATTGTAAGGTGTACATGTCTAGCTGGCAGGTGTCATCTGACCTTGACCTCATTTTCATGGTTCAGTGGTCAAAGTTAAGTTTTTGAGTTTTGGTCTTTTTTTCAAATACTAGATGCAATAGTTCAACTATATTTGGTGTATGGAAATATTTTATGATCTATATGTCAGTCACGCAGGTTTTATTTGACCTTGACCTCATTTTCAAGGTTCATTGCTCAGTGTTAAGTTTTTGTGTTTTGTTCTGTTTTTCTTATACTGTATGCAATAGGTCTACTATATTTGGTGTAAGGAATGATTGTAAGGTGTTCATGTCTAGCTGGCAGGTGTCATCTGACCTTGACCTCATTTTCATGGATCAGTGGTCAAAGTTAAGTTTTTGAGTTTTGGTCTTTTTTTCTAATACTATATGCAATAGTTCAACTATATTTGGTGTATGGAAATATTTTATGATCTATATGTCAGTCACGCAGGTTTTATTTGACCTTGACCTCATTTTCAAGGTTCATTGCTCAGTGTTAAGTTTTTGTGTTTTGGTCTGTTTTTCTTAAACTATAAGCAATAGGTCAACTATATTTGTTGTATGGAAGAATTGTTAGCTATACATGACTGCCTAGCATGGTTCATCTGACCATGACCTCATTTTCATGGTTCATTGGTCAATGTTTAGTTTACTTGGTTAATGTTAAGTGTATGTGACAGTTGTAATAAAGCTTTATATTTAGGACTATCAACATAATATCAATGATTAATAAAGAAGGCGAGACATTTCAGCGTGTGCACTCTTGTTTTTGAAAGGCAAAATTTACGAAGTGTTCAATAACGATATGAAACCAATAGATTCATAGATTATTCCCAGATAAAGATATAGAATTAAGACCCGGCAGTTATTCAGAATAATTTTGAACAATAGCTGCATACAAGTATTTTGTTGTTTTAGGACATCCCAAGGAGGCAGCAAGGGAGGCTACAGCGATAACCTTTGATGTTAATCTTAGTGAAGCTGCATTTGGACACCTAGAATTACTTGAAATAGTCAATGAATATCCATGCTTGTATTGTGGACCATTTAAAAGGCGTGGCATCAAACGATATGAAGAGTTTTGGCTCCCGCTTGTAGCATCACAGAATGACTACTTGGCAGCCCCATTGGATATAGAATGGATCTGGCACTGCCATATGTTGGCACCAAAGGCATATATTGCTGACTGTGAACGAATGTTTGGAAAAATCATTGACCATAAGGTATTTAGAATGGACGAACGGGAAATGAGAATGCACAAATCACAAGAGCTTTGGGAAAAGAGATATCCAAAGGAACCATTTTTGGTAGAAATACCTGATGCAGATGCATATGCCGAAAACTATGGACCCGATATAGATCAGACGATATGCACACATTCTTCACGACTAGGATACAACATAGAATCTGCTACCTGTCGACAGGGTAAATTCTTTCACAACGTTAGCCTGCCACATTATCGTGACAAGAAATATATTCGACTTGCCTTTGAAAGGTACCAGAAGTTTCTTTATCTAAAACAATGTACAGAAAAGACGTTTTTGGTACCTTGTTATGACATTGATTTGATATGGCATACACATCAACTGCATCCTATCAAATACAAAGAAGACACGCAAAGAGTTCTGGGTAAACTGTTGCCTCATGACGACAATACAACAGATCGATCAGATGGATCAAAACTGTCTATTTCATATAAAGTAACCGGAAAACTTTGGCATGAATTGTATGGTGAAAATTATCAGTATCCTGGTGCGATGTACAGAGGCGAGACTTCACGTGGCAGGTATAAGCAAGCATCGGTTGCAGTACCTTCCGAAGTTCAACAAAAAGCAGTCACAGTTACGTTTGATTTTATGGCACTAGAAAAAGGAAAAGATGGAAAGCCAGTAAAACAGTATCAGGTAGATGTGTTTATGGATTTCAAGGATGATCAAAAAAGAGCCTATGACAATGGACGTAAACTTTTGATGTCGCTACAGGGACCGAATTTAGAATGTATCGCTGGAGAAGCAAGACCATTTGAATATGACCCAGTTACGCAGCACAACCCGTTAGTTATTCGACTTGCCAAATTTAGAAAGGAAGACTTCGAAACAGCTTCAGAAAGTGGATATAGTACAAGATCTGACGTTGCTGTAATGAAAACTATTGCCGAAAAGGATGAACTGAATGAGTCAGAAGTAAGTATACGTTCACAAATGATGGCAAGTGCAAGGTCAAAGAAATCGGATAAATCAGATGAAAGTATGTCAGGTTCGTCAGGTTTTAGCAGCTGCGATGATTTTATGAGTGAAAAATCGCAGGAATCGTTCCTAGAAGCTCAGCTAGAATTAAATGGAATTGGAGACTGGGTTAGTTCTACACAAAAAATGTTCCAAGAAGCAATTAGCTACGAAGATTCATCTGGAGAACACTACGTTTTGTATCTTAGTGGAAGAATAGAGGATAGAAGTGACTTGTGCCATTTTGTTTTGGTTTCAGAGGAATTCGAGACAATGTTATATCCAAAAGATTTAGCACAAATCAATATCCCTGAATATACGATATATGATCCACAGGAAAACTGCCGTGTTTGCTACTTTGCTGACCAAAAGTAAGTATATCAAAACTTTTACCCGGCATTTTACCCTGGGTTATTTTTGTATTTATGGTGACTTAGATTTGGAAAATAATTTAACGGTTCTGAAAATTGATATTTGATGGAGGGTATCTTCAAGGTTGAAAGGTTTGACGTGTGTTATTCTTTAAGGATTTTTTGCTGTTCCTGATAATTTTTGCCCGACTATCTTAGATACAAAGTTACATGGTTTTTAGAATTAGAAGATTCACTAGATCATTATAGTAGGCCAAAGTATTATTCTTACAATTTTTCTCGCAAGTAACCATACATTCATATGATGAAGACATAATCTTTCAATCAGTTTAATTGAGATAAAATTGAGAATGGAAATGGGGAATGTGTGAAAGAGACAACGACCCGACCATAGAGCAGACAACAGCCGAAGGCCACCAATGGGTCTTCAATGCAGCGAGAAACTCCCGCACCCGGAGGCGTCCTTCAGCTGGCCCCTTAACAAATATGTATACTAGTTTAGTGATAATGGACGTCATACTAAACTCCAAATTATACACAGGAAACTAAAATTAAAAAATGATACAAGACTAACAAAGGCCAGAGGCTCCTGACTTGGGACAGGCGCAAAAATGCGGCGGGGTTAAACATGTTTTTGAGATCTCAACCCCCCCCTATACCTCTAGCCAATGTAGTAAAAACAAACGCACAACAGTACGCACAGTAAAACTCAGTATAAGAGAAGTCCGAGTCCGATGTCAGAATGGGAAACAAAAGAAAATAAACAAAATGACAATAATACATAAATAACAACAGACTACTAGTAGTTACTGACATGCCAGCTCCAGACCTCAATTAAACTGATTGAAAGATTATGTCTTCATCATATGAATATCAGGCACAATCCCTCCTGTTAGGGGTTTAGTATTATACCGTCATAAAATATATGAGAAGAACATAACCCGTGTCATGCCAACAACTGGTTTTAGAATAAATGTGTTTAATTCCGAGGCCTGGAGCTGGTATGTCAGTTACTGCTAGTAGTCCTTTGTTAATTTATGTCGATTATTGTCATTTTGCTTAGTTTCTTCTGTTACCTTTTCTAACATAGGACTCGGACTTCTTTTTAAACCAAATTTTACTGTGCATATTGCTGTGTGTTTGTTTATTCCACATTGGCTAGAGGTATAGGGGGAGTGTTGAGATCTCACAAAACATGTTTAATCCCGCCACATTTTTGTGCCTGTCCTAAGTCAGGAACCTCTGGCCTTTGTTAGTCTTGTATGTTTTTTTTTAATTTTGGTTCATTTATATGTTTCGGAGTTTAGTGTGACGTCCATTTTCATTAAATTAGTATACATTATTGTTTAGGGGCCAGCCGAAGCCCGCCTCCGGGTGCGGGGTTTTCTCGCTGTGTTGAAGACCCATTGATGGGTGTGGGCTGTTTAGTCGGGTTGTTGTCTCTTTGACGCATTCCCCGTTTCCATTCTTAATTTTATCTTGAAGCCCTGCCACGAAATACTGGCAGCTTTTCATTAAGACATATCTACAGGGGACGATTTTCGATCTTTCATTCACTATGAATGTTCTGTTTTCCATTAACGGACTTCAAGATTAATTGATATAGTTTTAATGTAACCTTAAGTAAGGTACGGAGACACAGGTAGACAATACAGAAATAAAAACAAGTTTTCAGATTTCACACATTTATTAATAGGTACTTAAAATACACAAATATGTCTATTTTCTTATAGAATGAGGGACGACAAGAATGGTCTTAGTTTTACATGTCGAGTAATGCATTCGCCACTGCATACTGTATCAGCTGTTCAAATCTTTCATGGTGAAGAGATCCTCCAGGATGAATCAGTAAAACCAATTGTTACTATCAGACTTGTAGATTCCCAACAACTGCCCTTACCATCTATGGTATGTGCTATTCTTTATATCTTCTTTTTGCCTTATTTTCTGTGGGTGTCATTTAAATGTACGCCTTTGTGTGATTTAATTTTGTGACAATCAATAAACGGTGTCTGTTGTAATACTGGCTATCCGCATGGTTCTAACGAATCCATTGCTCGGATATTTCCATTCTGTACAAACTATCGGCATTCCCGTGGGAACCAACTTTGCTTCTCTTATCGCCGACTTGTTCCTTTATTCATATAATGCTGAGTTCATTCATTAGCTTTTTAGGAAGAATGGAAAAAAATAGCATTGTCCTTTAACTTCACGTTCCGCTATAAAGATGATTTCCATTCACTAAATAATTCAAAGTTTGGTGACTATGTTGAACGCATCAATCCCATCGTATTTGAAATAAAGGATACAACAGATACAGTTAAGTATGTTTCATATATCTTGATATTAATCTAGAAATTGACAACAAGGGTCGGATGAGAACAAAACTTGACTACAGAGATGATTTCAGCTTCCCAATTATGAACTTTCCAACAACTTCTGCATATGGACTATATATCTCCCAGTTGATACGATATTCCAGAGCTTGCATTTCCTATCATGATTTTATTGATAGAGGGTTGCTGCTCACAAGAAGCTTTTAAACAAAGAGTTTCAAGTGATGAGTTTGAACTCTTCCCTTCAAAAATTGTAAGGACGCCATCACGAGTTGGTTGACCGTTACAGAATATCTGTTTCACAGTTGACGGATATGTTCAGTAATTACAATCCCACCCTCCTTTTCCCCGAATGTGCCACAAAACATAATAATGTATATTGTTGTTTTCGTGTACGCATTACATTCATGACTGTTCATATGTTAGTAAACTCATCATTTCTATTTTCATTTCATTTAAGTTATTCTTTTTTATTGATTTATATATATTTTGCATAAGTACTTTTCATTGTGTTTTTTCTAGGTGTTTAATGGTGCAAAGCCTTGTCTCACACTTGATCCAAGGTACAAAGAGAGAGGGGTGCTCATTCAGGACAATGACGGGGATTGGGCAATAGTTGTTGGTTCTTGGTTTGTTACAGATGACCAACCAGGTATTTAACGTTTTTAGTAGTAGCTTTGGTAGACAAATTAATGAACAATTGAATCATGTTTGACGCCAAAAGCGTTGAGAGCTTTCACTAACATGTGATAACATTTCGTGCGAGTTTATGCAAAATATCATTTTGATCAAACTTCTGTAAATCAGAGACACAAAAAGACAATTACAGGATTATAATGAGTATATAAAAACGATATTTTGTTCACGTAAATTGCATAGAAAATCTATTCTTTGTTAATTTAAAAAAAACATAAGTTGAAGTGCATTGATCACTTTAAAACTTGGATTTTCGATCTTGTTAGGTACGTAAGATTTTATTTCTAGTTTTCTTTTCAGGAACACTTCGCTTTAAATTATTTAAATGCAGCAGTGGAATCATCAAAACATTAATGCTACGATACGAGGAGCACCAATGCAAAATAACAATTGAATCCTGTACTATTGATTTTCAAAATGGCCGACTTGAGATTGATGCCAAATCAGACGAGTTGGTACAAAATATCGGACTTGCTTTCGCAATTGCCATCCTCCATGTACTCTGTGTACCACGACCTGACACCTGGAAACCTGGTGAACCTGTCGTTACACCAAAAACAAAACATGTTTTTACAGACACAATGTTATTTGCTCATGGTGTTGGGTTAGATGTTGTTACTCCATCCAATCATTTCAGAGAAAAACGCAGACAGAAGAAATAAATCAGTTTTAAAAATAACAACTCGCTGATAGTATGCATGCGCACTTTTAAAACAAATTAATGCCAATTCCATTCCATGTAACTTTGACTGAAGTACAATCTAGGTTAACCGTGACTGAAAAGAAGTTAATGCTCAACCTGTCTTTCAAAAACATGCTTGGTTTTCAGATTAGATTTGTTTCATTACACATATATCCATATATGTATATTTAGAACTGATATACAACAACCTTAAAAGATATGTGTTTATGTTATTTTTCATTGCTAATTGTCATATTCTCAAAGACGTCTAGAACTAATTCATTCAATTGTTTGTATAACTTCAAAGATGGCTACAACAAAGGTAGCAGTTTCTTCTTGAAGCATCAAGGGAAATCAAAGCATTTCATACAAATTTACGTGTGCCGGTATAGGAGTTACTTAGTTTTGTTTGTCTTTGGTTTACTTCTTGGTTTGAATCATTATCAAACAAATTAAAGCATACCATCCAAACCAGAATAAGCAATATAGGAATGCCATACTTTGGTAAATCGTTGATATTTTGACTCAACGGAGTTGAGGGGACAAACTATAGAATGTTGTGTGTAAGTACAACGTGGAGAAACTGGCTGTGTGCACTGAGCTGACTGACAACTCGGTTCATTTGCTTAGATCAATTTTTAAATTCCAAATAAGTTTAAGATACGAAGGGGTCACATTTATACAGCTTGGTGTAAAGATGAATCTCAGGTAGTAAACTGTCGTCAAATTGAGTTTTCCGGCACTGTGCTAGCAGTGCCAGAAAACGGATATTTGCGACTGAAAATTTTAAGACTCATATCTTCAAGTAAAATACATCATTTTTATATATTTTCTAATGCAATTGCTAGACACGGAAAAACATTTTTTTATCTTCATTTCACGCTTCATCGGACTTCCAAGTTTTACGTTCGAATTGTTATATGCTAAGCGATTTACAATCATAAAGCTTGGCGTAAGCATTATCCAACGGGGGAAAAAGAATACTTCCGTAAGTATATAACTTTGACCTATATTTAATTCTTCACTGACTTCAGATTACACTTATGCATGCATGGTAATGAAATCATCGTACAAATGTTCATATCGAAAAACTGGTGGAGTTGAATTGTGAATGTGTTTTTATTGACTGCTAACCTGATTTTTTTTTAAATTTGTGATATTAACCACTATTGAAGTGTTGTTATATTGTTATTGTTATTAGATTTGCATTTATTTATTATATAATAAAACCTACTTCAAACAATGACGACGTAACGTTATTTTATAATCCACATTTATATATTCAGTATTCACATGCAGAGAAAGCTAACTGAGATTCTAATGCAGATCGTTTGTAACGACGATTTTTATTGGTCGTCGACATATATATTGAGGGGTAGATTCCTCCACAATTTATCTGTCTGGAACTAATATAAACCGCCATTTTGAATTTCGGAATTTTTTGGTATGTGATTTCTTTTAAAATAAATAAACAAAAAAGTCACATTTCTAATCTAAAAACATCTTGTTTGTCAAAATATATTTCAATCTGAAGCATGTGCAAAGTCTAAAAACGTCCAGTGCTTACGTTTGATGTCAAATACAAGAACAATTTTTCGAGGAATGATCTATTTAATATGACAATTTTAAACCAAACTAATAACATTTGATAACATAGCATTATAATGGAGATAATCGTACTGTATATTAAGCTTGGCCTACGTGAAACTTGGTTTTACTGTCGCAAAGGTCCGTTTATCTAGATACGGTCAGCATCGCTAGGTAAACTCAGCCTACATTTTATGGTGGCCAAGCTTAAAATACAATACGGTTATCTCATAAATAGACATCACGACAATAAGTAAAACAGGGTATAACTCTGTTTTGAAGGAAGCACAGACTACCTTTCCCACTCCTAGTGTTTGTTCACTTTGACTTCAGTAAAAAAGGGAATGAATCAGTTTAAGAATAACTTTATATTATGTTTATACTTTACGGCGCCAATCCTTGATTTTGCTGTTGCAAATTGAGTTTTTCATGCGATGCGCTATTGGGGCAAGAAATCTGATATTTGCGACTGAAAACATGACCTAAAACTCACTTCTTCAATTATAAAATTACATCACTGTTATTGCTATATTCTATTGCAATAGCTAAATTGTATCTGGCAAACATTTTTGAGATAAACGATAATGTCATTTGATATTGCGTAGAGCATTACGGTAGGTAAACCATGGAAAAGGAATGGAAACGTGGCCCGAGATCAATCAGTAACCCCGTGGAGCGATAATTCATTTCTGTTTCGGTCAGAAGTATGATAAATGATAAAAAGAATCATAACGGTGGTTCATTTCCTGTTATATTTATCGGTCATCTAAATTCACAGGCGATCTTCCTTTAGAAGGAATAAAGGAGGATAAAAACCAAGACACGTAGAAACTACTCTTCCGTGTAAAAGGGAATCCTTTAGGTATCATTTTTATGCCTTTTCGACCTATGTATTCAATAAATTTTTAATAAAAAGTCATATTGAAATAAACCTCGTTCGTCAAATTTGCGAGTTTCATACGGATTACAAAACAAAAAATACAGTGTTTTGATTTTTCTAAATGCTTGACTACCATGTAAGGCAAACAAAAATAGTTGATATCATTATGAAGCTGAAACCTTTTACTAGAACTTGGACTCTTCTTTGTGTTTCTGGTTTAAAATCTGAACTTTCTACGATTTTCCAAAATTTCCGTTTGGCATTTCATTATTCTGTCAAAACGTGTCTTTCAATCTGGCAGTGTATGACGAATTTTCAAAATGTTGAAAAGTAGAAAAAAACAAAGTGTCAAAATGAGATATCATTTCAAAGAAAGAATATTTTGCTATAATTTGGTGTAAATTACGAATGTTAAATGTTATTGGTATATTGTAAATGATTTTCTTTCACAACATGCTGAAAATTTTAAGTAGTGCGTAAAAAATATTCAATTCCTTGATTTAACCACCCTAAAATATGAAATGTCGTCCACTCAAAGTCGCCGTTACAAAAAATCTGGATACGTACAGCAGTGGCTTAGCTGTATTGACAACAAAACACTTCGATAAACCAAAAAAGAATAACGCCTATAAAGGAATACCTTAAAGCAACAGTAGGTAACTGACGTACAAATCGATTAGAAAACAAATCAAGGTAAATTCAAAAACTCAAGGAATCGCATAAACTATTGGAACAAGACCGGGTGATCAACATCCCGGGAAATGTATGTCTCCTGCTATGTATGCATCACCCGCCATGCGAATTCACACTCAGTCAAAACGTCACAATCGGGAATAGGACACAATCGGTAAAATGCTGATCATACAAAAATTCTGGTACCTAAAGATCTTTGAAAATATGTCCCAGTGGATTGAGACACAGACATATAGAATCGGCCAACCAATTCGTGATGATGACCGTAAAACGTATGTAATGCCGATTTCAGTTTGTCCTTCGTCATAACCCTGTAGTTTTTGTGTAAGGACCACACCCCTGTATAGTGTGATCATTGACGAGCGGAACGTATCAATTGTGATATATAAACGCCATGATGTACGATTGGACAGAGGGTCACTGTTGAAAAATGGGAAGATGATAATTGGAAAGATAAAATCATCACTTTGGTCATAGATTTTAGTTAGAAGTCGTTTATTTATGTCAATATCGAGAAAAAGATTAAGATGCGAAGCAGAATTTCTAGTTTCGGTAGAATCCTCAATCTCTGGTTCACTGAGATATATGAGATGCAAGCATGCACTCACTGAAATGTGAATTATTGAGTGACGGGACTTCATCAATATAGTCCATTAGATGTTCCTTTTATAACCTTTATAACCTTCGGCTTTCAATGATCTTCAACATTGTAATTGTGATTTAGCCTTACACTGATTAGTCAATGAGGACGAATAAACGCGATTCTGGTGTACTAAATTATAGTACATCTTTGATTGGCTTTGGTGGTATAGTTGGAAAAACAACGAGAGAGCTTTGTTTGTGCTAGTCTAAATAAAAAAGGAAACTAAATAATATGTATGACCTAGTCAGAAAATATGAAAAAAAACATCATACCAAGTTATTTCTAGTTAAGGATTTTCAAATGGCTATAAAATGTTCTCTTTTTGAATTTCCACGCGTAATGATTGAGCGCAGTCTTACTTTGTATTATTTTTGGAAAAATGGGTAATGAATATTCATCAAATTCTTCCTTCGTTGAACTTCGAATCGAGTCGAAAAAAATCATAAAAAACACCAAGGAGAAAATATTTGTATAAAAAGGGAACATGGAAGACCAAGACTCAAAATTCAACCAGTTTGATGAAGAAACCACGACAAATATAAAGATATCCTGATACCAGAAAGACCCTCAAAATCAAATACAGACAGATGCTAGAACAAATATATACAACAACAAAGGTTTTTTTTTCTAATGTACAAGGTATGAAGAAAGACGGTAGCAACATTAGTATACTCAAAAAGGATAGTAAGGACATCATGCATGCGTAAGAAAAAGCTTACATTGTTATCCAGAAATTGATTTTAACCAGTATATACATATATATAAGATATATATATATATGTATACGATACACAGATATTCAATGTATACTACCACAAATATCTAAACCAACTGCAAAAAGTACGAAGCCCGTACATTTGATAAAACCAGGAATTATCAATCAGCTGGAAAATAACCCTCCGAACAAAGCAACAGGGCCCCATCTTATACCATGCAGAGTCCTGAAAGTAGCAGCAGGACATATTGCACCATACTCAGAAATCCATAAATACAGGATCCGTACTATTAAGACTGGGTCGTCGGATATGTTACATATCCTTATTAAAAAATAATGAGTCCCTGAGGCCAGGGGTGGACCACTACAATTACCAACGACAATGACAGCAATTTTACACTCTTTGAATTGGCCTACACTTGAAATAAGAAGAACAGTAAACCGCTTAATCTTATTTCAGAAGATACTTTTCCTCCAAGTAGTCACCCAAATTCCGCAGCATTATCATGTTAACATAAAAAAACTCGACATAGTCACTCATTCATATCATGCAACCACAGTGCAGCACCTCTGGATATGGACACAGTTTCTATCCAAGAACAATCCGAGACTGGAGCCAACTTTCAAGAAACATCGTAACGGACACCAACTCGGACACCTTCAAGGAAAACGTTTGATCGCACCTCCATCATGATACTAGGGACACGGTATTGCTGCAGAATATCATCCATGTGTTTTAACTTGTACATAGAATTTTTCATTTTTCCAGTTGATCAAACTTTGTACAGCAGCTGCACTAGATGACACTGCATCAGTATGATGGATTTTTTCTTTGCTGATTAACGAAAGAAGAAGATCGAGGTTTCGGCACCACTGCCGTGAGACAGGGTATTCAAATGGCGTGGTTCGCTTCTCATGATTAGCGAAATTAGTAGCTTGTGACTTTATTTGTGATCGGGACTTTCACAAACAATTTTGCATGCATTGTAGTAACAGGATCCACACTTACTCCATACTGATCTATGATAAAGAATGTACATTTATCTGTATGCTAGCATTAAAAATTTTAATTTTCAGGAATCTTTGTTTAAATGTCGAAGATATTGCTGGGGAAAGATCAGAAGGAAGGATTTTGTATCGTTTTTCTCAGAGTTTCTTGAAAACATTTAAACATAAAACTCAACATTTGAAAGCACTAAAGCACTAACCGCGCTAAATCCGGGAGTCACAAAAATCTTGGTATCCGGAAAGATATGCAGCTTCTGTTCTTATCATAATGGCTTCCGTCTTAATTATTTTAGTTGCCTTGATGTTTCCTCAATTTTGTTCAGATATCTGAATGCATTTAATTTGGATCTGTTAAGGCAGTTTTAGACAGGGATAGCATTGTTTAATGTTAAACGCCGACAAGCCAGCTAGCGCTGAACTTACTGGAAATACAAACAGATTATGTATTGGTTGAATTTGTGTGCGGATTGCCTCTTACCAAATATATCCTTTTCATTGCCGTGGTGTTTTGTTTTTGTCTTCTTTTTTTTCAATCTTTTAAATATACCCAGATCATGACAGAGCAATTGAATTCTAAGTATGTTCTTTGGGATTGAGGAAATATGGACCTTTGCACGACGATATTTAGATGATTAATATTCACAAGTTTCGTGATAAAATGATGCACATGACCATAAATTGGACAACTACTAGCTAGTAATAGTAAGATGAGCAACA